ATGTATGTATGTATGTATGTATGTATGTATGTATGTATGTATGTATGTATGTATGTATGTATGTATGTATGTATGTATGTATGTATGTATGTAGGTTTGTAATGTTTGAAAAGTATGTAGGTGTGTGTGTGTCTGTGTGTGTGTTTGTGTGTAGGTGTGTTTGGGTCTGTGTGTGTTTGTATGTATGTGTTTGTAGGTGTGTGTGTGTGTGTGTCTGAGAGTGTGTATGTATTTCATGTATGTGTGTGTCTCTGTGTGTATGTACGTAGGTTCATAATGTTTGTAATGTCTGTAGGTGTGTGTGTATGTAGGTTTGTAATGTATGTAGGTGTGTGTATGTAGGTTTGTTATGTATGTAGGTGTGTGTGTGTGTGTGTGTGTGTGTGTGTGTGTGTGTATGCGTGTGTGTGTGTGTGTGCACGTTTGTAAGTTTGTACTGTATCTAGTTGTGTGTGTCTGTGCGTGTATGTATGTACGTTTGTAATGTATGTAGGTGTGTGTTGTGTATGTATGTATGTATGTCATGTATATATGTATGTATGTATGTATGTACGTATGTATGTATGTTTACATGTGTTCATGTGTGCACGTGTGTGTAAGTGCGTGCGTGCATGCGTGCGTTAAAATTAGCTCAAGCTGAGCTTTGCCCGGCATGTCTCGTAACTACGTATCAGTTTAAAACCTCTTGTGTTAAGCCTGTTTCTCTCTCTCTCTCTCTCTCTCTCTCTCTCTCTCTCTCTCTCTCTCTCTCTCTCTCTCTCTCTCTCTTTCTCTTTCCATTTTTTTATCTCTCTCTATTTTTCTATCTCCGTATCTTGTGCTAGGCCTCTTTCTTTGGTAGATATACAGAGCTGCTTTAGTCTAGTGTTAGGCCTATTTCTTTGTGATACATACAGAGCTGCATTAAGCGTACTCACAGTTGCTCTTGGGGAAGCCAACGCGGAAAAACATGCAGCCCATTAAATAAACGCTTCGTTTTTACTAGTGAAAATCGCAGTCAGACTCGCACTACCTACTCTGCTTTTTAAACGATGATGATGATGATGACGATGATGACGATGATTTTTTTTTGTTGGTACATGTTCCCGAAGAAGCCCTTTATGGGATGAAACGTTGAACTTATATTAAATTTGAAAAGTCTACTAAGTCTCAAACCCTTTTTTTATTCCCTGCTACCTACAATGATGATGATGATGATGATGATGATGATGATGATGATGATGATGATGATGATGAAAGTCTTGAAAACACAGCTGCTTACGTGCAGAACTGAGAGTCAGCTGGCGTGACTTTTTTAAGCTTCTCGAGTAGTTTGGTGCAATTGTCGAGACGGTCCACGCATCCCCCGATAGTGGCTGAAGAAAGAAGTGGAAGTTTTCAGAATACAGGGTGATCCCGATAAAATGTGAGGCAGCGTGGTGGAATCAGGCTCTCGTCAAACTAATCAAAGTGAAGAAACTTGCGTTTTTCCACAGGTTTGTGCATTTTTTTCAAATTTTTGTTTTTTGACTCAACACCTTTCAAGCCCAATAAAGAAATCATTTCTGTATGGCTTTTTCTTTTTAAAAAACTTTGATTAAAGGCACAAAAATTTTAATTTTCAGCTACCACGGACTCTTAAGCTAAGGAAATAACTAATCTTTGGAGTCCATTTTCTCACTAATCTTACCTCTGACAACAGGTGACCCCCACCCCCTACATCTCAAATATCTCGACTAGTATTCAAGATAAATGGACATTCCCCCCCCCACCCCCCACCCCCCA